TTTCTGTGAATAATCGTCCTTTTCATTCTTGTTTCCAGTCTTTGTCACTGAACTGAAGTCACAAACCCTGGAGGACTGATGATTTGAGCAGTGCTTAAGGAAGATGTCTTTCATGCCCTACATCTGTAAGAGCTCTAATTTTCTTCTTAAATGCAGCATAAACTTCTAGGTTATAAAAAAAAAAAAAATCCTAGATGAGAGATCATTTATGGGACATAAAGCTGCCTTACAAAAATGTCTTTATTGATAGACTGGGTTACTGTCAACATTAAGCCAAATAGGAGAGACATGCATTCATGCTGACCTCTTATGTCAGCTCACTATTTCAAGTGAACCTTAGGTAGGCAGGAGCTACATTGGCTGCCACAGCTGTCAGCAGGGGCAGTCTGTCTGTGTCAACAGTGGGAAGCTCTTCACCTCAACTAGTACCACATCTGAAGTCTGCAGGGATAGATGGAATGGTTGATGCTCTCTTCGGAAAAAGTCTGTGCCTGCTTTCCAGAAAATGAATTAGTTTGAGCCAAAAAGGGTCTCTAAAACTCTGTTTTTATTTTTTCTTGTAAGCCTCAACAAGCAACCAAAATTGCACTCAAAGCTTCTGTGTGCTCTCAGTGATGATGCTTCTCTCCTGGGCTGAATATTTCCACCATATTCAAGGCTGTTTTTACATCTCATTTATGAACCCAGAAAACAGCATTTCCATGGGCATTGCTACATGGTCAGCTCCTCACAATGGTCTTGCAGGGAGAGGACATGTGATGGTAACTTGGAGGCTTAGAGCTGTAACAGCACACACAGACCTCATCTCAATGTAAACACTTTGGGGTAGGTGAACTCATTTTGTATTTGCATGTGCAACACTTCTGATCAGGCAGCTGCAATTTGTGGCCTCTTTTAATCCTGTAGGTGACTAATGGCCCCAGTATGGATAGAGTCACCTGGGTGTAAACTTAGTTCTACTGATGGTGCTGATTTTGTTTCCTGCAACCCTATTATTGCCTTCACACAATGGTGTTTTGCCAGGCTGGTAATTGTTCCTATGGCAAAACCTTCCAGTCTAGACAAGCCTGAGAAGGTTAAAGTCATTTCAATGTTTCTTTTGAGGCAATTACACAGGGACCTTGAGCTCCCTGCCAAATCCTACTTTTTTACCATGTTGGTGTTGGCAGAGTGGGCCAAGTACTCTAACCCTCCAACACAGATGAGTGCATGTGAGGAGTTAGTGCATGACAGAAGAGAGACCAGCCAGGAAAGTTTCAAACTGCATCAGGGTATAGCCTGACTTCACTAATGCTTTTCACTTACAACTCTTACTTTTATCCTAAGATCAGATAACAAGTAGCACTTTTTCTTTGTAACAATTCATTAATCAGAGAAATGATCCTTGCTAGTGTTTAGATGTTTTACTTAATTCGGTACTTCTGGCCTGCTGCCCCAGTAGTGCCAAAATTATTATTTCTCACCCAGCAGGTGATAAATAACAACTTCAGTCATGATTAATACCATGCATTTCTCAACCTGACTAATGCAAAAAACTTCAAACCTCCAGAACAAGTGGGTGCTAATTGTGGTGAGAGCCACTGGAGCTGCACTCTGCTTGTAAAGAAAGAAAGCCACAGGAAATGAAGCGTTTTCTAACAGCACAGCTGATCCTACAAGGCATCATTAAGTGCATCTCAGCAGCATTCTCCATGTGCAGGACTGTGCTAGGCTTTTTTCTTTTTGTTTCCCACAACACTGAGTTTTAAGTACATTTGAGAAACAGGAGATTGCCAGGTTATTTTTCTTTCCTTAGGGATTGAGTGGGCAAACAAAATTAAAGGCAGAGAAAATAGCAGATTAATGTCTCATTAACACCACTGAATACTAGAATTTTTACTAACTGATACATGAAAAGTGGCAGATCCTAGCAAAAGCTGCCACCACCGAAGCTCCTTCACATAATGTCTATCTTGAAATCTCATCACAACATCATAAAACACAGCATCAAAGACTTTGCAATCAAGGAGCGCTTTCTTCAGAGAGGCACAGGTGAACCTGGGAATCAGGAAGGGCTGTCAGCTGCAAACAATGATCCAATACTACAAATTAGCCTGTGGCTTAAATCCTCCTCACAAGCTGGTTTGCAACTGCCTGTGGTGGAGCAGGGATGGTTGCTCCATTTTCTGTGCTGAACAAGCATTGGTGCAGGGTATCTGGGTCCAGTTTAGCTGTGCAGACAATGCTGGGCTGGTCAAGCAGATGAGACCCTTACAGCATCAGGAATTGGCACCACGTGTTTCTAACAGGAGCAGACATCAGAATGCAGCAAGGACAAGAGCAGGTAAGTGTGCTGAGCAGGGACTGTGCTTTATAAGATTAGTCCCTTCCACAACCCCAAAAGCAGTATCACACAAGTCAAAGAGCAGTCCTGTTTTCACCAGGACTTTCCCAATTATTTTATCTCCATGAGGCAGGGAGAGCATTTGCTACTTTCCAGCTGGCATTTAACTCAACTTGAGCATCTCTATATGAAGCTATTAATTCATGGAACACAAAGGCTACAAGAAGCAAACCACCGTGCGCAAACAATTTATATATTGTTCAGCCTCAGTAATGTCTGTTCACCTGTAGTTATGAGAGCTTTTATGGTTCTGTGTACTGTTTTGGTTGAGTGACTCTCACAGTTCCTGGTGGGGCATACTCAGAGGATAGATGTTAAGCTGTGGTGTAGCTGTTCCTGACGTTCTTTCTGTTAGAAATCTAATTTTTTACTTAGTTTTTGAAAACTTAGTAAGTTGCAGCTGTTTGCTTTCTTCACCCAAAATAGCCTCTGGGAGCTTGGGTTTTTAAGCTTGAAAGCTAGGAAAGAAAATCATCATCCACCCTGCCCTGCTATATGTGACAGACCACAGGTGTTCCTGGCCCAATTCCTGCCTCTGCTGCACCAGCTGTGTGTCAGTCACAGGAGACCTAGAGAAACACACAACCCAGGAGTAGAACTCTCACAGGCTGCACATGCACAGCCTTGTCTACTAGAGGGTCACTCAGACTAACCCCTCTCTCCTTGGCCTTGGGTAAGGCAGGTTGGTTGAATTGCTCAACTTCCTTGCTAGAAAAGTTTTTGGGTTCTGGTTGGGTTTGGGTTTTTTCCACCTTTAACTGGTTTTATTGCTGGTCGTGTTTCTACTTTTCATTCTTTTTCTTGGAACTGTGCAGAGCATTTCAGGAGCAATCAGTATCAGGGTCCTTCCCAGGGTTGTGGCTTCCCAGAGTCAAAGTATGGTTTAAAAGCTTTGGTTCCCAGTGCTCAGCTCACTCTGCTCTGTAGCACTAGTCATCCTGGCAACGCAATTTAAAAAAAGCATAATGGTTTCTTGTACTTGCAAAGCACAATGTATGTCCTTTGTCTAGGATTTTAATAGCTATTGCAACACTACTAGCAAAACCAACATTTTCCTTGTAGTTCTAAGTTTAGGCATCACCTAGAATGAGATACAGCCTGAACTACAATCCAGCCCTGTGGCAAACATGCTGTGTAGAAAGGATGCTCTTCAGTCAAGGAAGTAAAGAATGCTTTTTCTCACCTAAATTTTATTTACTAATTAAGTTATCAAAGTTGCACACAAGGAATGAGGGGTGGTTAAACTTTCAGGAACTATCAGTTTATCTTCCAGAGCTCAGTCACTGCTTGTCCTCTCCCTTCAATATTGAAAACTTTGTGTATTTGCCTGTCTTTGTTTCCTCCAGTGCAGTCTGAGTAGCGCAGGTGGGTTTACACAAACTTTGTAAAAAATCAGTATCTTTTGTCAAACTGCTTCCACAGCATATTTTCTAGACACATTCTAAGTAAGTTAATGCCTATGGTTACCTCCGTGGGGTTCCTTTTATCCTCTGAAGTTACAAAGCTTGCTCTGTGTTACTGCACAAAATAGGCAGTAACTGTTCAGCATTCCAAGTGCTGGATTACCACAGCAGAATACAGCAGTGCCATGTCGTATGTTCAAAGCAGTACTAGTCAGATTGAGTCCTTGCCTATACACAGGAGCTGTCCCTTGAAAAGTTCCACATTGACAGGGTTTTTGGAGCATCGCAAGATTTGTTTACTGCTGCATTATTGTGCCAGCATGTACCATAGGATAGATACATCAGAGGCAGAAGGACCCAGGTGTGCCAGCCAGAAGCCCACACCAACTGCTCTTCCTATGAGAACCACCCCAGCAAGTACATCACAGTTCAGATGCAGTGTTAACATACTGGAAGTGGAAACAGTGAGAAAGATGCTTACCTAGCAACTTCATTTCTTAAACAAATAGCAAGACAAGCTGAGGATTGAAACTGGGAAATCACAGGAAGAAAAAAAAAAAAAAAGTAAATCCAAAACCCAAAGGTGAACAAGAAATAAAAGCAGAAGCAGGGCACATGTACAAAGAAGTAATGACAGCCAGGAGCTACTTCAGCAAAAATAAGAACTGACTGAATAAAATCACATCACTTACGTGCTGCAGAGCTCCAAGGTGTTTTTGTCACCCAGTTCCTGAATTAATTTTGGTTGAGGAAGGCAAACTTAAGATCTCTAACGCGTCTTTTCATTCCCAGCTTAAGAATTCTACCTAGTTCACCATAATATTGTCTTCCAGGTGTCCTGCCAACAGGATTCCACTCATTAACTACAGAGAAATTAATTACAAAGATATAAAACTTAGTAAGAAAGGTACTTAGAAAGATCAGAGAGAAACTTAAAGTATTTTATTTTTTTAATACACATACAATATTCTTCCAAGGGCACTTAAGAGTAAGTGGCATAGAGGCTATTAAAATGGAAGTGCCCATGCAGTTGTTCCAGGTTAAACAGACACAGTATATTCTACAACACAAAAACTGCATCTAGAGTGTTTTTCTTGCTCCAGAATCATTTGGCAGCTTCAAAAAGCTAACATGTTTCCATTCCCAACATCAATCCAGCAAACAACAAAACCCAAGACTGGCACACACTGCAGCCCAGACACCAAACACCACACTTATCTCAGCAAGGGCCTCTTGGCAGCCAGGGCTGTTGCAGTTGCAGGGCTGTATCTATCATGGCCCTCAAAGTACTGCTGCTCTATCCGGCGACAGAAGGCTGTGAGGTTACTGTAGTTCTTCACTTTTTCAGAGAGTTCATCAGTGATTAGTTGAGTAGTAAGGATTGTGAACAGATGTCCAAATACCAGAGCATCTAATTCAGTTGGACTGTGAAAACAGAAAAAAATAACAGGTATTTTAGAAGTTAAGTACTGATCAAGAACAACCTCTGCTGTTCCGAGTCACTTTTAGACAGAGACAGAGTGGGGAAGAAATCAGGGAACACTGAACCTATCAAATGCATGAAAAGTGTGTATACAGCATAGAAGCACATTGCAGTTTCTCAGTATCGCATCTTTGTTTTTGGTGCCTTGGAAATGTGGAAATTGCACTTCTTAGAAGGGACAGACTTACTGATCCAATAAGAAACCATGCTTCACATTTTAGTTTTGTAACAAGGGCAAATGGTTAGCAAGTCGTCTGGGGGAGGTTTCTTTGTCCTCTGCAGATAGATATAAAAATAGCCCAGCTGTTATTTCACACACACAAAAAAAACCTAGGAAAAAAAACCAACAAACTAGGAGGAGTGAAAAAAGCACAAAACTCCTATTTCCTTTTTGTGCTTTTCAACAGTCAGGAACTACTCAACCAGTAACGAGAAGCTTCAGAGTGGCAGCAGCTGGAAACACCTATTTTTTGAAAAGGGACTAAACAGAAGAAAACGGTTATTTTGGGAAACAGTGGACTATTTAATGTTTTCAGTCCTTATTTTAGGTACAACCCTTCTGGTTTGCCATCTTGTAATTTTATATTTAAGTTGCCCCATGTGCAAATATATCTTTTTTTCAAATGTATTAATAAGTTATGAGCCCTTCTTTAGTAATATTCAAGGGTTTTCTAACTGATAAATATTTTGCTTTTCTATTTGCGGATCACTAAGCAAATTCCAGTGGAGATATGAACCCTTGTATAACAAAACTTACAACCTGTCAGCAACAGGCTACTCTTCTTATTTACCTCCTACAGACTCCCAAAACTCAGAGAATGAAAAATACTGGATGAAGAACACATGCTTTCTTAGTAATATTTCAGACAGCTAAAAAGTGTAAAGGTTAAAGCCTGGTTAACAATCCCCAAGCTACAGTTCTTGACAAATACAGAAGAAAGTTTAGGAGATACTGTGTTTAAATATTATTTAAGAAGATGCAATTCAAACTTGCCTCCTACAATGCATATTTCTATATCCATTCAATTTACACTACCCACCTAGTTTCAACTTGGAGAAGATTAAGAGGCAAAGACACACACAGAAAAGGAACCAAGACCATGTGCTGCGTTTTGAAGACATCTCCCTGTCCAAATGTAGTTAACTCAACCCCAGAGCTGAGCGTCTCTAGTCTGGTTTACGCACAGGAGAGAAGAGGGAGCTAATGTGATGTTACTTAAATCTATAACATTTTAAAAATATTGAATTATTGGAGAAGGAAAACAAAGAAAAAAAAAAAGCATTTTGTGATTGGAACAAAAGGGTGAAAGCAGAGGAGATCCCATGAGGGCCAGGTTGTTCCTTTTTTCTCCCCTGGGAGCATGAATCTTTGTTTCCACTTTGCAACTGATCCTTTGTCAATGCAAGGCCAGCTTGCCCCCAGTTCTTACAACTCATAGGCACCCTCAAGTTAATTCACTTCACTAGGAACTGCCCCTGGTGTTAAGAGCAAGACAACCTGTCCTGGTCAGGACAGCATGTTCTACATTCACTCCCCTGTACTGAGTAGAGAATGTTGGCTAAGAAATACAAGTAAAGCTTTAAATGTATCATTTTAGTAAGAAACTCACTGCGTAAAGGTGCATAGCTATAGGCTACCTAAGTTTTGCTAGACTCTGTTAAGAAGATAGGCAGGAGTAAAACTAAATCATAAGCTGAAAAAAAACCCAGAAACTTCCCTTTTAAAGCCTTTAATTACTTATTTCTGAAACTTCATGTTTATATTCCAGTCATGCATTTGTATTTCTGCAACTAATCATACAGCATTAAAATAAAACAGGAGTTTCCCACACACATATATATGTGAATATATACCTATATTCTCCAGGATATAATATTTCAGTAAAGAATAACTTACTGCTTATTGAAGAAATATGGTTGCGTTCCTAATCTCTGGGAGAGAGCCTGACAGCACTGATCTACATCTTCAAGCACCTACCAAAACACACAACAGATAAAAGATCCGTATTGTCAGGAAATACTAACATTGCAAATAATAACCTACTTGCTCTGTTTCCAATGACAGTGGGGACAAGGAACGTACACTGCTGGGACAGTAGAAGCTGCTGAAGTCAGGCAAACTTGCACAGTAGGCAGGTAGCTAAGTGTTATTTAATCATCACGCTTGATGTAAGGCTATTCTGATTAAGTGCTTCCCATAACATTTATAACTTAGCTTAATGAAAGGTACTAATTTATACCTCAAAAATGCTTAGCTCTTTTTTCCCCCCAGACCTCTGACAAGGGAAGCCCTGCCAGGCATGCCTGTTAAGGCCACATAGGAAGAGGGGCCATAACTCAACCTATTTTCAGGACTATGGCCCAAACCAACATCACCAGAGATGTACACACACGGTACAGCAGCCCTCCTCCCGCCCCATCGGGTGCACATCATTTGAGATTCATTGCTGCTGAAGACAAATACCTGACTCCAGATAATGTGTTCAGTACAGAAATGACATTTTTAATACATGTTTCAAGAAAGTGTTACTATCCAATGCCTTTAAAAAAAGAGAACAGGGGGTAAAGAAATAAGCTTGACTGTTGGCTCTGACCTGCGGCAGTGTCTTGCCTGCCCACCCAAGGGCCTTCATCCTGCGCCTCACCTCCCACAGCTTCTGATAGGGCAGGATGCGGGTCAGCGGCCACGG